GCACACCCCTCACACGATTCGTGACCACATATGGAGCACCACCGAAGGCCCCAACGGCGACGTTCCCATGCGTCCGCGCGACCCATGTCGGCACACCCCTCACACGGTTCGTGACCCCATGGGGAGCTCCACCTATGGGAACAATGGCGACGTTCCCATGCGTTCCGCGCCACAAATTTCGGCACGCCTGTCACGCACCTCGTGGCCCAATAGGGAGCTCCACCTATGGCCCCAACGGCGGCGTTGCCATGCGTTCCGCGCCCCAAATTGCGGCACGCCTGTCACGCACCTCGTGGCCTCATCGGAAGCTCCACCGAATGCCCCAACGGCAAAGTCCCCATGCGTCCGCGCCACCCATGTCGGCACACCCCTCACGCGGCCCATGGCCCCACAGGGGGGGGGCTCCAAATGAGGCCCCATTGGCGACGTTCCCATGCGTCCGCGCCACCCATGTCGGCACACTCCTCACACGGTTCGTGGTTCACAAGGAGCTCCACCTGAGGCCCCATTGGCGACGTTCCCATGCGTCCGCGCCACCCAGTTCGGCACACTCCTCACACGATTCGTGGCGCCATAGGGAGCTCCACCGAAGGCCCCAGTGACGACGTTCCCATGCGTCCACGCCGCCCGTTTCGGCACACTCCTCACACGGTTCGTGTCCCCACAGGAAAGTCCACCGAAGGCCCCAATGGCAGCGCCCGCATGTAGGCGATTCCCCGTTTCCCATAGGGAGCTCCACCTAAGGCCCTAGTGGCACCGCCCGCATGTAGGCGACACCCCGTTTCGGCACACCCTCACACCTTTCGTGGCCACGTAGGGAGCTCCATCTAAGGCCCCAGTGGCACCGCCCGCATGTGGGCGACACCCCGTTTCAGCGCACCCCTCACATGTTTCGTGGCCTTACAGGGAGCTCCACCGAAAATGCTACTCACAACTGCGATACTCGCAAGTGCATCTTTATGGGTATTTTGCCAGGCTAATTTCTTCCAGAGCATGTATACGTAGGTCCTCCATTTCAAGCGCGACGATTGCCCGATCTTACTCTAGGCTACAAACAGCACGCTCTTCTAGAGTAGTGTTCGCTCTGGCCTCGGCACTCCTTAACTCCTTCTCGTTCTCAACTAGTTCTTCCTCGGGAACCCTATGTTTGCCATAGTGCGATCACGGCTGTCCTTGAGCTTCATCAGCGTGATGCGTTCCCCGGACATCCAGCGGGACCTGACGTCCTCTTCTTTGTCGGTGTGAAAATATGTCCGTCTTCGGGGACCCTTTTGAGTCCCCCCCCCCCGGATTGCTCATCACATCTTCAACTCCGTTGGCAGGCTGGCCTCCTGCCGCAGCACCGCTGGAGTCATTCTGCGATGCCGCCTCAGCCTGCCCCACGGCCGCGTCATTAGGCGCTCTGGAAGCACCTTCGATCCTTTGTTCCGACGACGCCTTCGTCCGCTCGACGCCGAACCAGGCCCAGAGGAACCGTGATCGACTGGCCTACTGGCTGGTTTACCGCCGTCGACTTGCATCAAAACGGTCCCTGAACGTCCGCTGCCGCTGGTGCCTATAAATTGGTCCGCGCACCGCTCAGGCGCGATAACCCCCAGGGGTGTCACCCTCGTCGTTGCAACCGTACGTCGACGAAATGTTGCACCACTTTTGCCGCGCATTGTCAGCTGTATTGGGTTGCTCCTCCCCCCCCCCCTCCCCCTGATCTTAATATTGGGCACATGGCAAAGGTCCCTTGGCGCCCCCCCAGGGCTCGCGACAGAATGTTGCACCACCGAGCCGTTTCGATGAACCCGGGACCGCAGCCAATGTTAAGATTGGGGGGGGGGAAGCGAACATCCATTGCAAAATCGGCTTGCTTTCTTGACATCACCAGGTGGTGCAACATTTTGTCGATGTACCGAATCATCCGAATAGACAGAATCAATTCCGAACCGGGACGAACCAAGAGGGGGCAAATCCGAACCAAGGCGACACGCACCAACAATGGACGGACCGAAAAGCGGAGAACCGAGACACGACGAACTGAGGCAGGACCAACCGAAACAATGCGAGCACACACGAGGACCAAACAGACCCGAATCGAATCGAGGCAAGCCGAACCGAGACTGAGGCGGCCCGAATATGTTTAGGCTCACCCTCCTGAATCCACGTGGCGTCTCCTGCCCAAGGAGCCGCACTCCGAGGGCCAACGCCGTGGTCAATCACCAACGGCGTGCGCCACCGGGGCCGCGAACCTGGCGCAACCTGCAATTGATCCGTGTTGTGTTGAACTGTGATGCGTCGTGCTGTATACAAGTGCTGTGTGGGATCCATGCAGAATGCGACAACCACAGGGATCCGATACGTGTGCTCTCAGAACCTCCTGGAGCATGCTAGGCAGTCTAGGCTTCTCAAGCGTGGCAAGACAATCGTTTCGCTCGAGACGTCATCAACGGACTGCGCAAAACGTGCGTTTCGCTCGAGACATCCTCCACTGATAAATTCCCCAGCTCTGCTCGACCTCGTTATTCATCGTCGAATATCAGCCAGCGCAGACCCCGACGAGATCAGAGGATTGAAACGAAGAGGACTGGAGTAGACTGAAGTAGACTGGAATGGCGTAGACTGGACTGGACTGGGCTGGACCCTACTTCGCTCTACCGTTTTGTAAATTACCCGACTCTACTCTTTTCTCCACTCTGCTCTTCTCCACTCGACTCTGGTCTACACCCTGGTCGTCTCTACCCTATTCGATCTACTCGACCACGCCCCACTGTACTTCACGTCATCCCTACTCCATCCTGGTGTGTGCTCCTACTCTGCCGCCCCACTGGCCGACGGAAGCCCGATTCGGCGGGGGGCCACCCTGCCTGCCAGAGGAGCAGCACGCACACTCGACGTGGGCGTCGCGCCGTCGGCGCTGCAGTGCCGATCGCGAGCATGGGGACGCGTGCCGCACGCCCCGCGCGAGGGGCCGAACACGTCGCTCTCGCCTCGGCGCCGCGCCCGCACCTCTGGAGAATCGGGCCCCCGCGCGGGCGCGGCGCACGCTTCTCGCACGCGGCCGTCGTCGACGCGCGGGCGGGCGACATCGCCGCTCGCGCATCGGCGCCTCGCGGATATCGCCTTGGAAGGCGGCGCCCCCACGTGGACGCGGAGCACCCCTTACACTCACCAGATGTCGGGGGGGGGCCGCGCGAATGGGCGACTGAGCGCCCTCGCCCAAGCTCCGCGCGCACGCCGCTCGGTGGCGCGTTCCCACGCGGGCGCGGCGCATGGCTCGCCCGCCGAGACGGGTGAAGGCCACAGAGGCAGCGGGGCCGCGCGAGAGCGGGCGAAATGCCGATCTCGCCGAAGCGCCGCCAAGCGTCAGCGCGGCGCATGCTTCGTCTCCGCCGCCGCCGTCGGAAAGCGTGCCGCTCACGCCCCCACGGGACACGCGCCATTCTCACCTCGCGCCACATCGTCGGAAGCGGGGCCGCGCGCGAGCGCCCTCCGTGTGCGAGGTTGGAGCGCGTTCCAATCCTGCTTTGAAGTTGTGCCACAGCTCACTCTCACGTTTTGGGGGGGTGGGCGGGAATAGGCCGGGGGGGCCACCGACGCGCTCGACATGGCGAACTTGACCCTACTCCTACTCATACTCTACTCTGTTCCTCCTCTGCTATGGTACAGTGTCCCCTCCCTGCTCTCCTCTGCTCTCATCTGCTCTCCTCTACTCTTCTCGACTCGACTCCAGTGCACGATCTTCCTTACTCTACCTTTCTGTGCTCTACTCTACCTTACTCTATGAGACCGGAGAAAAACCCAATCAGATTTTTGTTAGGGCTATAGGGCTATAGGGCTATACGGCTATCGGGGTATAGGGCTATAGGGCTATAGGGCTATAGGGCTATAGGACTGTGACCTATAGGGCCATAGGGCTATAGGGCTATGGGGCTATAGAGCTATATGGGCTATGGGGCTATAGGGCTATTGGGACATAAGGCTATCAGGGCTATACGGATATAAGGCTATAGGGCTACAGGGCTATAGGGCTATACGGCTATAGGGCTATAGGGCTATTGGGCACCCCCGGGCACCCCCGGGCACCCCCGGGCACCCCTGGGCACCCAGGCACCCGGGCCCGGCCACCGAAATCGGCCACCCGGGCACCCCCGGGCACCCGGGCACCCGGCCCCGGCCACCGAAATCGGCCGCTCACCTCACCTCAGCTTTATATCCGCTAGGACCCCTACAGAAGCAAGCTCTGATTGGGGAATTATACTCCTATTCGACTCTACTCAGACGCTGATATACTCTACTCTACTCCACTCTACTCTACTCTGCTCTGTTTTACTCTAACTCGAACTCTATTCTGCTCTACTCTGTTCATCTACCCTTCCCTAATCAATTCCGATATTGGACGACTGTTGGCACGCCATGCGCAACAGAGGACACTAGCAGAGGAAGTCATGCGCAAGAGAGGACGCGTGTAGGGGCGAAACAGAAGGTTGTGCGGGTAGCAGTGGAAGCCATGCGCAACAGAGGAAGCCGTGCGCAACAGACGACGTGCGTCGGGGCAAAATCGAGGGCGGGTGATTGGTGGACCCGTTCTCTACGGCTTTAGGGGAACAAAAAGTGACATAAACACAAAAACTCTGAGGTCCGCGCGGATTTCTCGGATCGGCGCTGGCGCCCCCCGGCGCCGCCTCCGGCGCCGCCCCTGGCGCGCTCCGCGCGCCAGGGAGGGGGGTCCAGCGCCGATTCGAGAAATCTGCGCGGACCTCCGAGTTTTTATGCTTATGCCACTTTTTGCTTCCCCTGGGCTTGGGCCAGAACTCCTATGAGCAAGCCTGTTTGGAGGAAACATCCGCCGGCCCTGCGCAAGTCGAGGGCCGGAGCCGAGGAAGCCAGCGGCACGGAGAGGGATCGGGGAGGACGACGCGGCCCTGCAAGGTCCGCTCCGGCCAAGCAGTCGAAGAGGGAGAGGGGCAGACGGCAGCGGCGCGAGAGCGACGGTGGTCGGTCTCGGCTGGCGCCTTCGAGAGCCGCAGCGTGCTGCCCACCGGCACGACCCAGTCTCGCTCCCGGAAGTCGCCCACCTGGCGGGGGCACCCTGACTCCAGATCCGCTCCACTGTGGGCGGATTCGCGAGCAGGGCAGGAATTCCCGCCCTGTCTTACCAGCTCCTTTGATGCCGATTTCCGCACCATGTTGCCGTCGCCGTTTCCGCCACACCTTTGCGGGAATGATAACCCTGTTTTTCTGTAGCGGAAATTTCCGCCCTATTTTTTCGCATCGTTTGGGATGAGCTTCAGACACAGATTTCAATCGGAAAACCAGCCCGAGCACGGTGGATCCGGAATCAGGCTCTCCAGGATGGCCTTCATCGCCACGGCTGGATTCGCCTCGGCATCCTGTTCAGACAACGTTCCAGGAGGGGGCGGGAGGTGCAGGAGGAGTGCGACCATGAGAGCCTCTTCTATGGGAGGTACTTGCACGGGCTTGCGAAGCCAGGGCCTGACGCACAGCGGACCCGCGGTCAGGGTCGGCGGCAGGGCAGAGGCGGGCAGGCGGCAGGGGCGCGCAGGGGGGGAACAAAAACACACTGTGTACAAAAAACACTGTGGGGAAAAAACAACACAACGTGTCTGTGGGAACAAACAACACACAAACAAACATACACTGTGGGAGAAACCACACACACAAACAAACAAACACACAAACAAACACACACTAATTATGTTTTGTTTCCACAGACTGTGTGTTTTTGTGTGTATGTGTGCGTGTGCGTGTGCGTGTGCGTGTGCGTGTGCGTGTGCGTGTGCGTGTGCGTGTGCGTGTACGTGTGCGTGTGCGCGTGCGCGTGCGCGTGCGCGTGCGCGTGCGCGTGCGCGTGCGCGTGCGCGTGCGACGTGTGCGTGTGCGCGTGCGCGTGCGCGTGCGCGTGCGCGTGCGCGTGCGCGTGCGCGTGCGCGTGCGCGTGCGCGTGCGCGTGCGCGTGCGCGTGCGCGCGCGTGCGCGTGCGCGCGCGCGTGCGCGTGCGCGTGCGCGTGCGTGCGCGTGCGTGCGCGTGCGTGTGCGCGTGCGCGTGCGCGCGCGGCGCGTGCGCGTGTGCGCGTGCGCGTGCGCGTGCGCGTGCGCGTGCGCGTGCGCGTGCGCGTGCGCGTGCGCGTGCGTGCGTGCGCGTGCGCGTGCGCGTGCGCGTGCGCGTGCGTGCGTGCGTGCGTGCGCGTGCGCGTGCGCGTGCGCGTGCGCGTGCGCGGCGCGCGTGTGCGCGTGCGTGTGTGTTTGTTGTGTTTGCGCGTTTTGCCCACGGGAGGCCAGCAGGCCTCAGGGCCGTGAGCAGGCCCCGTTCGGCTTCGCGCCTGCCGCCCCACGATCGCGGCCGAGGCTCCCTCGGCCAGCAGCGCCGCTCGCTCGGCCGGCGACGGCGCCGCGGCGAAGCGGTGCGCCTGGCCGCCCACGAGCTCGAGCGGCGGGAGGCCCCCCTGGGCCCAAGCGCAGCCCGCTGAGGTCCACGATGTCTCAGCGTCCAGCCGCTCGATCAGCATGTCGAGGTCGAGCGGGCCAGCACCAGCACCAGCCTCTCGTGCCAGAGCTCGCCCCACCCAGACCCCCGACGTCGTGATTTTTCCTCGACGTCGACCCCCGGAGGTCTGGACCCCTTCCCCGGGACCGGCTTTTCATCCTGAGTCGTTTTTTGGACGGCCCCGGGGCCCAGGAGGGGCCCCTGGAGGCAGAAAATGACGAAAGACCTCCCGCCGTGTTTCTTCACAACGCGAGGGGGTCTGGGGAGGGCTCGACCTCTCGGCGTAGCGCACGTGCGCGAAGCACCCCGGCTCCAGCGCTGCCATGCCGGCGGCAGCAGGCGCGACCGCCGTGAGCGGCCGTCGCCTCCCTGGGCGGCGACGGCGACGCCGCCTCCGCGCGGCGCGCTCTGGCGCCGGGCGCCCGCGTCAGCCTCGAGCCCGCGCGCCACCTGCCCAAGCGACGGGAGCGCTGGCAGCGGCGGGGCCGCGAGGACAGAGGTGACGTGCGACGTCACGCGTCCTGTGAAGATCGGTCTCCACTCCGTTGCTGGCAGGACGGCTGCGCGCACAGCTTTGGCATGGGCGAGAGAGACGGGCCTGCAGCAGCAGCGCTCCCCCACCTCCGCATCAGCTTGCCTCGGAGGCCCCGCAGAGGGCCGAGCTACCAGCACGCATTTTGCACAATACACGCGTTAGCCCAGGACAGAGAGCCGGCGAGGCGGTGTGCGACGCCACCCCAGCGCGAGCGGCGCGCGCCTGCGGGGCTGCCAGGCCGCAGGCCGCGAGCCCCGTCAGCAGGCTGCCGGCCAGGAAGCCCCAGAGCGGCGATCCCGCCGGCGAGCAAGGCGCAACGGCCCCAGACATCCGACGTCTCGATTTTTGTCGAAACACGGGCCCCCGACCTCCCGACCACTTCCCCGGGACCGGCTTTTCGTCCCGGGGTGTTTTTGACGGTCCCGGGGCCCGGCGAGGATCTCGAGAGGCCGAAAGCGACGAAAAATCTCCGTCTCGGTTTTTCCAAACCATCCTGTGGTGTTGGGTCCTCGTTTTGAAGAGACGGCGCCCCGCGTTTTCCTCCCGCCTCCTTCCTCCTCCTCCTCCTCCTCCTCCTCCTTCCTCCCTGCGTTTCACCCACCCAGGACAACGCTTCGTGGCACCATGGAGAGCTTCACCGAAGGTCCCAGTGGGACCACCCGCATGCGTCAATGCCACACAGGACAGCGCTTCGTGGCCCCATAGTGGGCTCCACCGAAAGCCCCAGTGGCACCGCCCGCATGCGTCAACGCCACCCAGGACAGCGCTTCGTGGCCCTATAGGGAGCTCCACCGAAGGCTCCAGTGGCAAGGGCTGCACGCGTCAACGCAACCCAGGACTGCGTTGCGTGGCCCCATAGGGAGCTCCACCGAAGGTCCCAGTGGGACCGCCCGCATGGGTCAACGCCACCAGGACAGCGTTTCGTGGTCCCATAGGGAGCTCCACCGAAGGCCCCAGTGGCACCGCCCGCATGCGTCAGCGCCACCCAGGACAGCGCTTCGTGGCCCTATAGGGAGCTCCACCGAAGGCCCCAGTGGCAAGGGCCGCATGCGTCAACGCCACCCAGGACAGCGGTGCGTGGCCCCATAGGGAGCTCCACCGAAGGTCCCAGTGGGACCGCCCGCGTGCGTCAACGCCACCCAGGACAGCGTTGCGTGGTCCCATAGGGAGCTCCACCGAAGGCCCCAGTGGCACCGCCTGCATGCGTCAGCGCCACCCAGGACAGCGTTTCGTGGCCCATAGGGAGCTCCACCGACGTTCCCAGTGCGACCGCCCGCATGCGTCAACGCAACCCAGGACAGCGCTTCGTGGCCCCATAAGAAGGGGCTTCACCGAAGACCCCAGTGGCACCGCCCGCATGCGTCAACGCCACCCAGGACGGCGTTTCGTGGCCCCACAAGCTCCACCGAAAGCACCAGTGGCACCGCCCGCATGCGTCAAAGCCACCATAGTGAGCTCCACCGAACGCTCCGGTGGCACTGCCCGCATGAGTCAACGCCACCCAGGACAGCGCTTCATGGTCCCATAGGGAGCTCCACCGAAGGCCCCAGTGGCAGGGCCCGCATGCGTCAACGCCACCCAGGACAGCGCTTCGTGGCCCTATAGGGAGCTCCACCGAAGGCTCCAGTGGCAGGGTCCGCATGCGTCAACGCCACCCAGGACAGCGCTTCGTGGCCCTATAGGGAGCTCGACCGAAGGCTCCAGTGGCAAGGGCCGAATGCGTCAACGCCACCCGGGACGGCGCTTCACCGAAGGCCCCAATGGGACCGCCTGCATGTGTCAACGCCACCCAAGGCAGCGTTTCGTCGCTCCACCGAAAGCGACACCGACAATGCGGCACTCGCAGCTTCATATGGTTGGGTCCTTCGTCAGGCTGATTTCGAGACGCCCGATGTCTGGGGCGGGCAGGCAGGCGGAAACAGGCTCGGGCGCTGCAGGTGCTCTGGCCTGCACCGCTCGAGTTGCCTCGTCAGCAGGTCGAGCGCGCCAGGGGGAAGTCGGTCGGGCCGCAGTGGCAGTGGCGGGCCGCCGCGGCCCAGGGGCTGGCCATGCAGGGGTTTAAAGGGGCCCAGGGACACACAAATAAATACATACAAATCCCAGGACTCCCAATATTTTTGCATATTTTCTGGGTTTTCGTCTTCCCCCCCACTTGCCATATTGTCCCATATTTTCCGGGGAGTCGACGATCAATTGTGTCTGCGTGTTTCTTCCCCTCCTGAGGGTTGGCCATGCAGACCGACGCCGCAGCAAGAATCTGTCTCGAAACCACCAAAACGGCGGCGACCAACGTCCAGCAGCCGACGTCATCGCATTCGGCAACACCCGTCCCCTCCTTACAGCATAAGCGTGTGAACACTGGCTATGAAGAAATGCATGCCCAGACTCCGCTTCACTTGGCTGCAGTCGCGACTCTCATCGCACCGCTAGCTTCGTAGAGAGAAGAATGATGTACACTGCTGGCTTCCCCATTTACGTGTATGTATGACAATGTGCTGGTATGGCATGGCTGCTTCTGTAACCAAATTCACACTCTTCGCTGCCGAGTGGAAGTTGAACATGCGCCACGCCGGTGGTGTCGCACACAGTATGAGGACGCATAACGCGCGCCGCAGGGCAAGCTTTGGGTACGACTGCGGAACAGCACTGCCGAGACGTCGCATCCAACAGTGCCAACGTCAGCGCGAACTTGACCCAACCTCCCAATCAAGGCCGCGTCCAGAACGCGAAGTTCAGAGAGCATCACCCCGATGCACGCACTGCCGTTCCCAAAAGACCCTGAACGCAAGCCTCGGGGTGACGTCCGGTGGCATTCGCAGCTCATCTCCCCAATCGCTGTCTCCCCCCCTCAGCCCAGGAGCCTTGGTGACTATCTCGCTGGCGTCACCAGTGACCAGGAACTCCGCCTCGTAGTCCGGCGCCAGCTGTCGGGAGGTGCAAGCCAAACTTGGCGACGCGCACAAAGAGGTAGCGGGGGGGGGAAGGCCTCTGAGAAGGAGGCTGTTTCTTAGAAGGCGCCGGCCTTACATCTACAGATATGGACGCCCGAAATAGGTACGTAAAAAATTGGTACAATGCCCAACAACAAATGTTGTCCCAAACCAACAGCGGCCGCTATTGGGCATGCGGCCTTCTGTCTCGAATGGACACAGGCCGCGGCGGCGCGGACAGCGAATCCTGTTCAAAATGAACAGGAACTGCTGTTGGGCATCGTACCCGTTCTTTCCGTGCCCATCTCGGGCGTCCAGATACAGACAGGGCCCGCACGTGGCCGGCACCCGTGCACATGCCCCAGGAGCCCCGCAAGCGCGGGCGCGGGTGGCTCCTGTCGTGGTCGTGGCGACTCTCGCGCTGGCTCTAACATCGCCGCGTGGATCTTTCAGCCTTGAACGATCGCGACTCCCTGATCACCTGATGGGCCAATTTTCCACCACCACTATAGGGAGGATGGGGAGGTCCTCCTCCTCCTCCTCCTCCTCCTCCTCCTCCTCCTCTTCCTCGTCCTCCTCCTCCTCGTCCTCCTCCTCCTTCTCATCCTCGTCCTCCTCCTCCTCCTCCTTCTCCTCCTCCTCCTCTCCTACCTATGGTAGCGGTGGTGGAAAATGGGTCCAGCATAACGGAGATTGCTGTCGACTGTGGCCTGGTTCAGACCGCAGCTGGCCTTCTGTTAACCTTGAGGCTTAAGCTAGAACCACGCGCGCGCTTCGCGCGCTCAGGTTCCAGCGCAGGCCAGGGCGCTGTCGCGACACCATGGATTCATGCTACGACGCCTCGTGGACCTGACGCCAGCCTGCGCTACCTGTACGTGATTTTCGGACCAACTCGCTCCATATATTCTCCTACCGCGTCCTCCAACATTTCTTATACACCCATCCTCGCTCATCCTCCAATGTCTTTCGCTTGTGGCCATGTTTTACTTATCTCTCCTCTCGACTGTCTCCTCGTGCTAGGGGCTCTGCGGGACCTTCGAACTGTTCATGGCCAGCGTGGGTGGGTATTGAATATCAAGTGGGCCGGCTTGGAGTGTGGGGGTCTCTTAGGGATCATCCTGGAGTGTGCTGGGGCTGCCTTGGGGCTCGCCAGGGGGCGTCTTCGGGACTTTGGGGGAGCTCTCGGCGCCCTGCAGGAGGTGTTTGGGGACCTCTGGGGGGGGTCCTGGGACGTCTTGGGCCGTCTTGGCCCCTGCCAGAAGCTCTACCAGGCTGTTTCGGGCTCCTACTGGGGCATCCTGGGGCCATATTGGGGCATTATTTGGGCGTTGTGGGACCATCTGGGCCCCCCCTGGAGAGCTTCCAAAGCCATCCGACCGAGAATACGGTGAGAGCTGCAAACTATAGAAAAACATGTTTTCTGAGATTTTGGCTCTCTGGGGCCTCTTTGGGGTTCGCTTGGGAGCTCCATCGGTGCATCTTGTGGCCCCTGGGGACTCGGAACGTCTTGTGACACCGTGGGCCGTCTTGGCGGCCAGTGGGCTTCCTCTTGACCCAGCGCGGAAAGGGCGAAAGAAAAACCCAGGGCCCAAATGTGGGTCCCTGACCCCAGGGGGGAAAACGACCTGCGAGGGGAGGCTGGAGAAGTGGGCCGCCCCAAGGTCCTTTGAGTCCCAGTCGCTGATGCACGGAGCAAGGTAGAGTCTTAGCACAGTAGTTGGTGCACGGATGAAAGGACTGAGCACGAGTCAGGGGGGTAAAGCCGCACTCGCACAGGCATGCACAGTGACAACTGGTTGCGTTTCATGGGAAAGACGAGCAGCGTGAGGAGGAGGAGCAGGAGGGAGGTGGGGAGTAAGGCGGGAGGGAGAGGAAGGAGTGGGGAGGAGAGGGCGAGAGGCGCTGGAGGTACCGCTGCTAACCGTGCATGCCACGGAGGGCGAACTCGAGACGGTAATGCCAAGACCCCCTCGTTCTCCGTCCCCCTCTCCTTACTCTTTTCCGTGTCCTCTCCCTCTGTTTTCCTCCTCATCGTCTTCTAAATCCTGCACCTCATCTTCCTGCTACCAGTCCCCCCCTCCTAAAAAATCCAGAACTGCCAACCTGGCTCGACACATCGACACATATTGGGGGGCAAATCAAATTGCATTGAGGGCATAAGCAGGTCACAACGGAGCCACCTCGACATTCTGTCAGCTTCCCCCCTTCACCCGCCACCTTCTCGTCTCCCACTTCTCCACCTCTTCACCATCTTCTCCCCCTCCCACTTCTCCACCTCGTCTCCCTCGCCTTGCTCCCCTCTTTTCCAGAAGGGGGCGGCCACCCTCTGTTCGAACCGCCACACATGTACCACGTACCAACTTGTCTGGTCCGTTGCCCAAGGGTGTATAGGCAACGCGGAACGACACGAGTGATCGCCTCTGGAATGAGAGCGATAAAGCAACACTGCCGGGGTCTCGCGGCAAAGACGCATCTACCTGGCGCAAACTTCTCTAGTCGGTCGCCCAAGAGTTTGTACGCAATGCGATCTGGTGCAAAGAGCCTAAGCTGTAACCTACAGCCTGAGCTTCAGCACTGCTGGCAAAGGGTTGCTGGGGGGGCTCTGCCGGGGAAGCGGGGAGGGGGGGCCTGCTCCGCCTCTGCTCCGCTGCTCCGCTTGTGCTCTGTTTTCTGGGCAGGGCTGGAGCAAGTAAAAATCCGCCGGATTCCCACCCCAGAGGCCAGAGAGCCCAAGAAGGCCGCCAGATGTTTCCCAGACGGCTCAAGATGCACCCAAGATAAGACAGGATGCCCTGAAGATGGCCCAAGAGCGCCCCTGGAGTCCTCCAAGACGGCCCCAAAGGCGTTCAAGATGGCCCCACGACGGCCCAAGAGGCTCCGGAGACGGCCCCAAGAGGGTCCCAAGACGGCCCCAGACGCCTCCAAGACGGCCCCTATACGCCTCCAAGACGGCCAAGATGGCCTCCAAGGCGGCCCTGAAGAGCCCAGGGAGGGTTCCCAGGCGGCGCAGCGAGGCGCCCAAGACGGCTTCCGACGGCACCCGACGGGCCAGAAACGCCCTAACGCAGCCCAACAAGCTTCCAAGAAGCCCCCAACAAGCTCAAAGATCCCCTCAAGAGGCCTCCTCCGGCCCCAAGACGGCCCCATAGGCCTCCAAGCGAACCCGAGCACCACCAGGAGCGCCCCGGATCGGCGGCTCTGGCCAGCCCCAGGGATGAGAAGAATAGACAGGATGCAGATGGGGAGAAACTGTTTGCCAACCAGCGGCGCGTCGGCGCACTCGTGTGCAAGCGGGACGCTCCACGTCACACTCCCTCCTCCCCCTCCTCCTCCTCCTCCTCCTCCTCCTCCTCCTCCTCCTCCTCCTCCTCCTCCATCTCCTCCTCCTCCTCCTCCTCCTCCTCCTCCTCCTCCTCCTCCTCCTCCTCCTCCTCCTCTGCATGCACACACGGCGGGGGTGCAAACCATGGCACAGCACGAGCCGAGCCGCACCTGCGGGCCACGCGCCAGGGCGGCAGACCTCTGCAAGCAGGGGCGCGAGGCCGCTCTCGGGCCACACCTCGAGGAGCAAACCGGTGCGAGGCGTGCAGCGCGGGGGGGGAAACCAGCATTTAACGACGGCCTGGCCTTACGTTGCTCCCATCGTACTTGAGGACCACATCCCAGAACGAAGTTCGAGCACCCAGAAAGGTATCGAGACAATGTCGAACTATCGACTCCCGGGGCCCGACTCGTGAACACCCTCCCGTTTCGGTACTTTCTTAGTGCTCGAAATTCTTGCTGGAATTCTTTTTTTCTTGGCTAAAGTAGGTTGGAACATCGTAAGCCTGGCCGCTCTGCGGGCCGCACATGGGGTGGCAGACCAAGCTCCAACGACCGCCAGAAACGTGCTCCGGGCCCCATCGGCCGCCCCCGTGCACGCGCGGGCGATCCGCTGTCTCAGCTCGAGCTGATCTGCTTGCTCGCCCTTGTCCCTTACGCCCATCTCCCTCACCCTTCCATTATTCTCCTCATTCCCTTGTCATTATCCTCCTCCTCCTCCTGCTCCTCCTGCTCCTCCTCATCATCATCCTCTTCCCTCCTCATCATCATTACTATCATCACCATCACCATCACCATCACCATCACCATCACCATCACCATCACCATCACCATCACCATCACCATCACCATCACCATCACCATCACCATCACCATCACCATCACCACCTGCTTCGCATCCCCCCCTCTCGCAGTCCGCCTGCTCATCTCCCTCCTCCTCCTTCCTCCCTTTCCCCACTCCCCCCTCCTCTCCATATCATCCTCCTCATCCCTCTCGTCTCCTCCCTGCACTCTCTCCCGTTTCTTGCCCAAGCGTGGTTGCGACTGGTTGCTTGCACGTTCTATGCTGCGTCCTGTTTCCTGCTCGCCCTCATTCCCACTCTCTACCATCTTTCTCTTCCTCATGCTCCACTGCCTGCTCCACCTCCGCCTTCTCACCCTCATAATCCTCATATTTATCCGACTTTCCAACTTTCTTCTCCTCCTCGATCCTTCCTCCCTCGATGGCTCCGTTCTCTGTCCCTCGAAGATGACCTGATCACGAGACAAGGCAACGTCACAACGGAGTGACTGCACGTCGCGATACCTGCTCAGGGCAATGTCGGGGCCTCGTGATCGACACATTCAAAAATGATTGGTGCCCATTTTGGGGTCTTGAAGCCGACTGGCAAGACTCTCTACAGGAGTCCCGGAACTGCCTTGGATGACCTCCAAGCAAAATGCGCACGCAACATCTTATGAAATTTGGACGCCCGCGCTGGCCGGGATAGCTCTGGCCCCGGATGACTCTGGCTTGGGGCTTGGGCCCCCGCGGCACGGATCAGGAGATGCCCCTGACCAACCCCCAGCCCCGAGAGGATTCCGGGGGGCCGGGCTGGACGCCCGCCCCGGGTACCCAGGACACAGCCGGTCCGGAGGAACTCTGGCGTGGGACCCCGAGGCACGGATAACCCCCCCCCAGGGGGTCACATGCGAACCCTACCCTTACCCCCCACGATTTCTGAGGGGGAGGCGGGGCCGTGTAGGGCCAGGCACTGGGCCACTCCAGCATGGGCCACACGCAAGAGCGACCTGCAGTGCGCAGAGGAAGGGGGCGCGAGGTGGCCAAACCCAAGCGCGCAAGCGGCCTCTGCCGCACCGCACTCGGCGATCGGGGGGACCCTGAGGAGCCCGCACCGGAGACCACTCTGGCGAAGGGTCATTCCACGGGACTGTGCTGTGCCAGACTGCCCATCGGTCGGAAGACGCAGGCAGAAATAGGAAGCAGGAGGGCGTTGGAAGTGGATTGGGCCTCCACCCGCCCCCTGACGAGGGCGGAAAACGGGAAACCGCTCGATCCTTGAAGCAGGAAGGCGCCTCAAGTAGATTGGGATCTGGGAATCCAAAAATACCTGCACGTCGTTCATTTCTAAGCGTGCTCATTATTAATTGTGCTCGTTTTTAATCGTTCCTGGCTCCCTAGTGGCCATGAAGAGGCCCAGGATAGAGCAATTAGAAACGAAAGGATCCTGGCCCCCAAAAAATCAAAGAACTCCCGAATACTTAGAAATGAACAACGTGTACCATCAACGGCCGATGGGCGGGCCCGTTTTCGACGACGGACATCTGCCAGCGCCGCTGCGTCGGAGGGCCTGCCAGGCGAAGGGCGGCTTCCCGCGGCACCGCGGGCGCTCGGGCCGATCCTGCAGCTCGGCCGGGGCGGGCTGCTCCAGCGCCTCCTCTGCGGGTGCGGGCGCCGCGGGTCGGTGCGCGGCGCTGCTTCGGACTGGGCTTGGGTCGGGCATGTCCCCCTGCACGGGGGATTTTGGGCGAAAAATTGAAGACACTAAAAAAATACTCCGAAGATGATCAAAAATAGCAAAAAATGGTCGCCAGACTATTTTTGACTATCTTTAAAGATTCCACCTGTAGGGGGACAGGCCCGACTGAAGACTGGGCGCAAGTCCTTGTGCTGCATCCTCGGGGGACCTCGTCTGTCCCGTCGCGGCCCCATCCGCGTCGGATCCGTGTCGAGTCCATGTCGGCCTCATCGGATCCGTATGGAGTCCGCGTCGGAGCTGCGCCCCCATCCGCGTCGAGCCCGGGTCGAGCCCGCGTCGGGCACGAGAGAAGACACCAGAGCTGGGGACAGGCGAGGTCCCCCAAAGATGCAACGTAAAGAGTCCTCCCGCTTCCTCTCGTTGCGAGAAGATCGGGACGGACGGCTTCTGGCCGCTCTTGGCCGGGACGAGAGACCGATCAAGGGGACCCGCTGCAGACCTTCAGGGTCGACGCTGTGAACATGGCGCGACGTCGGGGTTCTGGGTCGCCCTCGGGACCGTCGGCGAATCATACCACTCCAAAAATACAATTCCTGCCCAGTAACCATGCAACGTTGGGAGGGACGTTGATAGGAAATACAAGGATATGTTTCAACCCTCGCATATAACACGCGCGGCACGTACGTGGGCAGATAGGGCGCATGTGCCGTGGGCACGTGATCCCAAGCGGCACCAGACACACAGACTACCCAACGACCCCCGAGCATCTTCCCTTAAAGTCAGAAGGGGAGGATCAAGAGTATATTCGTGCCTGCTGCCAAAAAGCAGCACTGACATTGCGAAAAAGGGACAGGAGAACGTTGCAGGCAACAGGCGCCTGGCGTACGCAGTTCGGAGCTTAAGCTGGCATCCAAGATCGCTCGAGGTAGCCCCCAACGGTTTTATCTAGCTTTTAACATGCCTCCACGAGCCCTGAAGATCGCCCCAGGGCGGCTCCAAGTGCCCTCCGAGCCTCCACAGGAGGCCCCCAAGAAAGCATAATCCTTCAAACATGTTGTGTGTTTCAATGGTTGTCGCTTTCTCGCTTTTTCTCTTCCGACGGGCTCGCGAAGCTTAGAAATGGCTCCAAGGCTCCTGCGTGACCCAAGAGGGTCCCAAGAGGGACCCAAAAAGGTCCCCTAAGAGCGCCCGAGACCGCCCCAAGAGGCTCGTTTTCGGGTCCCCTGCGGGGGGACGCTACTTGAATACTCCCTCATTTTCGATGGCGTCCAAGATGGCCCCAAGAGGGATCCCCCAGTCTCCCAAGAGGGGCCCAAGAAGCCCCAAAGTCGGCCCAAAGAAAGGCCCAAGATACCCCAAGAGCGTTCCAAGAACGCGACAAAAACGCTTTCTTGATCAGCGTGACTCGCCTGGGCATCGTTGCTGGATAGGCCAGTGAGGATTTGTCAAAGCGTCGAGATTTTCAATCCGCGGCCCCCAGAAGCCGCAACACCTTCTCAAGGGGGTGATGGCAGTTTCTCGTTCCGCAAAAAATCGATACCGAAATGCAAAAAACGCACTCGGCTATTATTGAAACATGATCGGCCCATAAACCCAGAAAGGATTAAAAAAGGCATGGCAACGTTTTCAAGGCACTTGACTGGGCAACGGGCACTTGAAATGCTGAATGTATCGATCTGGATGTACCATGCCAAGGGCTGTGCTGTGCTTTCCCGTGCTGAGTTGCGATGTGCCATGCCACGATTGTACTCCATACCGTTGTGGGTCGAGTCCTTCTTTGCATTCGAACCCTGGCCGGACTGATCTGGATCTTAAGCTCGAGCTGCCTGAGCACATTGTAGCTGCCCCAGAGCTAGTTGAAGTGGAAACGTGCGGGACGTTCAATCAACTCGACCTCCTAATCCGACTCAGCTCCGAAAAGGAACGACACGACACCGGGCACAGGCTCACGGACGCGCCACAGGATGCGCCAGGGGCGCAATAGGGGATGCGCCAGGGGGCGTGTCAGGGGGACGTATCAGGGGACGTGCCCTGGACGTGTCAGGGAGCTGCCACGGGACGTGCCAAGGAGCGTGCCATGTGGCGGCCAAAAGACGCCATGCCAAGGGACGTTTCAAGGGGCGCGCCACGGAACGGGCAGGGGAAACGCCTGGGGACGAGCCAGGAAACGGGACAGAGGACGAGCCGGGGAACGTGACACGCCGAGTGGCGTGCTAGGGGACGTGCCAGGGCACGTCACGCCAGAACGTCGCAAGGAACGCGCCAAGGGACGCGCCAGCGCGCTAGGGGACGCCCCAAGGACGGGCGGGGTTGGACTGCGACGCACTCGACTGCGACAATCGTCTCGCTCGAGACATCCTCAGCAAATCCTCATGTTAGACATCCGCCTGAGCGACATGGACATGTGACAACAAGCGTCTCGCTCGAGACATCCTCAACACATCTTCATATTAGAAATCCGCCTGGGCGATCTGGGCACGTGAAAAAAGCGTCTCGCACGAGACGTTCTCAACACCTCCTCATGCTAGACATCTGCCTGGGCAACCTGGACGTAAGATAGAACAGGCGTCTCGCTCGAGACATCCAGTCCGAATCCTCATGTTAGACATCCGCCTGGGCGATCTGGACACATGAAAACAAGCGTTTCGCTCATCACATCCTCAACAGATTCTCATGCTAGTCATCGGCCTGGGCGACCTGGACACGTAAAAACAAGCGGTTCGCTCGAGATATCCTCAACACATCTTCATGATAGACATCCGCCTGGGCGACCTGGGCACATGAAAACAAGCGTTTCGCTCGAGACGTTCTCAACACCTCCTCATGCTAGATAGACATCCGCCTGGGCGACCTGGACATGTGAAACCAGACGTCTCACTCGAGACATCCTCAACACATCCTCATGGTAGACATCTGCCTGGGCAACCTGGACACGTGAAAACCAGCGTTTGGCTCGAGACGTCCTCAACAACTCCTCATGCCAAACATCCGCCTGGGCAACCTGGACGCGTGGAACCAAGCGTCTCGCTCGAGACATCCGCAAGACCAGGGCACGTGAAAACAGGCATTTCGCCTGAGACATCCTCTGAACTCCGGTCCCAGGACAAGAGCGGTCTATAACACAAAACATGCGTTTCGCTCGAGACATTCTCAACAAATGCTGCAAAACAAGCGTTTCGCTCGAGACCTCCGCAACAAACGAACATGTTTACTTGATACACTGTTTTTTATCGATCGGAATTTCGAAAGCCATCGTTTCGCTCGGGATATCCTCAACTCTTTAATTCGCTGGCTCTACGCGACCTCGTTATTCATCGCAAAATAAGATCGCGGGACCTACGCAAGTCGAGGCTGAGGTCGATTTGCTACGGGCGGTTAAATCATCTCACATTTAAAAGGACCCTCTCCTCCAACTTCGGAACTTTTTGCGACGTCGGCCCCAGGGCGTCGGTCCCTGGGGCTGGATCTTCTACCCTGACTCCAGGTCCGCCGTACTCTGGTCGACTTCGCCAGTAGGGCAGAATGTTCTGCCCTACTGGTCAAACTTCTTTGACGCCGATATCCGCCCGACTTTCCCGTCGTTGTTTCATTTCCGCCCATCTATTGCGGGGCTAGCCGCGTTACTTGTTCGAATTTTTTCGTGGGGCATTCCCGACACAACTGTAAGTCGGAACATCAACCAAAATACACCAAATCCTGAGTCAGGGTTCGCTGACATCCGCTGGTGTAATTTCGTCAATCCGCGGCCTCAGAGCGGGAAAACGTAAGACTCGGGTTCGGGGGACTCGGGTTCGCCTGACGGGGCCGTCATGAAAATGACGAGACCCAATCTGAAATCTGACGCGAACTCCCGCTGCAAACATCCCACGCAAACTGGACCGTCAAAATCCAGGACGCGCTCGTCAAAAAGCGTCGGCTAATTCCAGTTCCGGCGTACTCGAATCCTACGTTTCCCCGATCAGACGCCCCGACAGCTAGCCGCTAACGTCCCCGAGGGGTAGTTCTTCATTCCAGAACCGCTCATGATTATCATTGGCGGCGCGCACAAGGGGGTAAGGGGGAGGGGCGAAGGCTTCTCAGAAGGGGGCTGCTTCCGAGAAGGCGCTGGCACTGCATCTATACAGGGAAGGCCCGCGCCTCTCTAAGAAGAGCAGGGGTGCTGCCAAGAAGCCTCCCCCCCTCCCATCTGCCCCCTCCCTGCGCGTGGCCGACGACCGCTGGCCGCTCGCGCCCCCATAGGGGTAGTTATTCGCCCCGGCTCCTATCTCTGATGGGAGGAGGAGGAGGAGGAGGAGGAGGAGGAGGAGGAGGAGGAGGAGGAGAAGGGAAGAAGAGGAAGAAGGAAGAGGAGGAGGAGGAGGAGGAGGAGGAGGACACCCGTGGCCCGACGGCGGCCCCCCGCGAGGGCCGAGCTCCGGCCTCCCAGGGGGCCTCCGCGTGCGGCGCCTGCGCACCGCAGGCGCCGAGGCGCAACACTGACGGGGGCCCTGGGACACACAAACAGATACACACAAGTACAAGGATTTCCCACATTTTCCTATGTCTTCTGGGTTTTCGTCTTCCCCCCGCCCGAGTCGTCGCGACACGAATCTGCCGCGTTCTCTGGTCGCTTGTCGCTGTGACGCCATCTTGGAAACGCATTGGGGTCGTGGGGTTTGGGTGTACCTGTCGATGCATGTTTCGTCTTCCCCCCACCTCCCATATTCTCCCACATTTTCCGGGGGATCGACGACTACTTGTGTCTGTGTGTTTCTTTCCCTCCTGAAACACGCCCGCCGGCCGAAAACAGCACACCGCTCGAGGGCTGGGCCTTCGGGGGGCCGCGGGGGCCCCATGCGGAAGCGGCCGGATCCCTGGCCGCTGGCCGGCAGGCCAGCGCCCGCCCCCCCCCACCCCCCACAGCGCTGGCTCCAGATCCACCGTGTACTTTTTGAGTGATTTCGTAAGCTGCGCTGCTTCGGCCGTGCTCCTGCGGGGGATGTCGGCCCTGCTTCCGAGGCAGAACAACTTTTGCCGCATCGTTTGGGGGGCATTTCCCGACACTACTTCCAATCGGAGAATCGAGCCACATACGACGGATTCGGAATAAGGGCAAGGATCGAAGCAACACCCGCCGGCTGCATAAATCGCACCGCTGGAGATCTGGACCTGGGAGGCCGCGGAGGCCCTCTGCGGAGGAGTCCTCCGCGGAAGCCCGCTGCCACCGCGGACACGAGGCCAGCGCAGGACGGCTCAGCCCCTCAGTCTGACCATCAGCGCCCTGACACGCTCACTTCAGTGCCTCTGTGGAGGCGATGCTGCCGGTACATCCACGAAGGACGGCTATAGGGGGCCACATGCGAGCCCTATCCCCACCCCCCACGATTTCTGAGGGGGAGGGTGGGGTTCACTTCGTTCGGGAGCTCCTCCCGAGCGAAGTGAACCCACCCCCCTCAGAATCGTTGGGGGGGGGGATAGCGCTCGCATGGGGCCCCCGAACGGCCCACCAGCCGCTGGCCGGCCGGCCAACCGCGCCCCCCCCCCGCCCCCGGGGCGCCGCGGCAGCGCCGCCCGGCCAGTGCTGCAACGGCGCGGGCGGCGGCCACGGCTCCCCGCGCGCGTGCGGGGTCTCGGGCGCGCCCTGTCCCGGGCGCAGCGCGGGGGGCGCGGCCATCTCGAGGCGCGCGGCGTCGCGCGGCCCTCCGCGAGGCGGGCCGGCGGCGGCGGCGGCGGCGGCTTTTCCAGCCCGGCGGGCTTCTCTTCGCTGTCGGCCCCCTGCAGTGGGGGCGTCTTTCGGCCACGCGGCAAACCGAAACGGGCTCGGGGCGAGAGCCTCCCACTGGGGAAGCGGTCGGGGCTTCTGGGGCCGCGGGTTCGGAAAGAAGGAATCGGCGGATGAAAGGGTTGGCGGCGACGGCGACGGCGACAGCGGCGGCGGCGGCGGCGACCGCTCGCGCGGGCGCGGCGGCTTCGGGGGGGGGGGGGGGGGAATGGGGGGGGGAGGGGGGACCGCGGAGTCTGTGGGTGGTGGTGGTGGTTCGAAAGGAAGGTAGACCGCCACCTCCTCTCGTCGCGAACACATCACGGCGGGGTTGTTTGACAATTTACGGCACATGGGGGCTCTCACCGGGCCTCGGGACTTTGAAACAAACTGACTGGGAAGAGCACTTGCCCCATGCTTACTGATTGCTCCTACTCGCGCTAAAGTATACAACGACTGAGCTACCCAGTACATAATCAGAGTGAGGGGGCCGAACGGTCATTCACTGTCCCTGGGTGCGTGGCAGAACTGGGATTTCGCGATGAGGATTATTGTTGTTGTTGTCGTCGTCGCTGTTGTCGCTCAGCTGTCTGCTTGCTTGTTTGTTTACTCGTTTAATTACTTATTTGTTTGTTTGTTTGTTTGTTTGTTTGTTTGTTTGTTTGTTTATGTGTTTGTTGTGGGTGGTTGAATTGTATTGTTAATTGGTTGGTTAATTAGTTGGTTGGTTGATTGGTTGTTGTTGCTGGTGTTGTTATTGTTACTGTCATTGTTGTTGCTGTTGTTGTTTTTGTTGATATTGCTGCTGTTGCTGTTGTTATTTAATCGCTTCGCTCATGCCGCCGGCCCTGGAGCCCTCTTTAGGGCCTCTTGGGGGCCTCTTGGGGACCTCTTGGGAGTCTCTTGGGGCTCCTTGGCGGCGTTTTGGAGGCCCCCAGGGCCTCTTGGGGGGCTCTTGGGGGTAGTCGATTGCGGCTCCCCCCTCGGAGGCCACGATCCTC